GGGGTTTTACAAGGCTACGCTTGAAGAAAAAATATATATTATTTATGGCCTAGTTAGTCTGCATGCCATTTTTAAATTTTTGTAATAACCAGAAATTGTGAACAAAAAGTTTACTAGTAAAACAAATTGCAGGTGGGGGATATGAAAACGCGCCAAGATCGGATAATCTCTCTCGAACTAGTTGTAAAATTCTTAAATCCGAGTTATTAAAACAGATGTAGAACTCACCTATCTTCCATGCTACTTGACTGGTCCAGGATGAATACTTCATCAGATGGACTTTGTTCACACACGAAGCTTTTCGTGTTCTCACTCCCGTCATTCTTACCCAGAACACTCACCCCCCAGCCGAAGCTAGCCTTGAAAGTAGACTGAGTGGATTTTGGCATCCACAACAACTTTGATCCAAAACTCCAATTGAGGGTTTGGATCTCCTCGATTGGGCACATCTTCTATGTAATCTTGAATCCGAAGCATGGCACACACGACGTTGAAAAGGGCTCCAACAGATCAGACGCTGACGCAGAGCTGGAGCTCCGAAATCGATACACAGCAGTTCTTTTATTCTATCTACTCAATTTTTCGACAGAATTATATCTTTGGCTTTGTCCAAGTTTTCTTCCGTCATCAGCCAAATTCCATGCCTTTTTTCCTTATATTTAGTTTCCTCGAAGTTACTGGCAAGAGTCACCTTACCTTTTCCGGGATGTAGTTATCAGCCTTTGAGAATATATTGCAGGCCATGACTTTTTTGATGGCCGAGTTGGCCACTTCACAGCCAGTTGCGCCTACTTTCAAGGTGAAATTTTCTGCAAGTACACTGTGCTGAAACCTTGAACATGACAAAATGATCAGCAAATATGTGTGCATTTCGTATAATACAGCCAACAGAATTTGTTTTTCTGCTATTCCTATTTGGGCTAGTAGGGTTAAATTTAGCTGAGAGTATACTAGCCCGGGTTGATGCAAACTGCTGATTAATAATTGTGATCGGTGGTTTTTGTGACCACCATAAAATTTCACGATTTACGAAAGCGGTTTTTTCTTAATAATAGCATGATTTTTTTTGTCTGAAGACCAAATGTTTGATATAAGCTGTTTACCCCGTAAATGAGTTTTCAGTATGATCGGACAAAGTTAGCCAATTTATTTACTAGTAAACGTCAAAGGTTTGGGGCAAAACAGTAGCAAAAATGCGTGAATGAAGAGGACTAATATTTTATGGAGAAATGGCGTTTTTTCCCCAAGTCATATACAATACATAAGCATAAGTTATGTTGTCAAGAATTGTTTTGGCTTTTTTACACTTCCCTCAACCTTTCAAATTATTAATTTTTTTAGATTTTTTACGTGTAATTATGGCTAAAGGCGTAATGTTAGGATGTAAAGTATGAAGCACAAATCTCTTCACAATTGTTAGTTGTTCCTCATCCGAAGTTCATTACATTATGACAAAATTAAAATTGCTTTTCAAAAAAATCAAAGATGTGGGAAATGAAAAAAGTCATTATTTCGCAAGGATAGGTATGATGACCAATGTTGTTGGAAAAGCCAAATAAGCCAATTTTTGTCATAGTCGGACAATTTTGGCCACAATTATCACAGATAAAAATAACCGGCGTTTTTAAACCTTTTATCCTTATTTTGTCTTTCTTTTACGTCAAATAAAACAATAAAAAAGTCGGATTATTTCAAGAAAGCTTCATTACGAGGCCAAACTGTGTACTTTGTGAATTCTGCAACAAGGACGCTCTTTTGTTTATTTTTTGTTATTTTACTTCCTATTATTGTTGCTTAAATGCTCGTCTCTGGAATCCAGGAACATACAGACGCAAAATTGTGTGCCAATTCAAAGCAGAGTTTTGCTTCGTAAAGATTGTTTTCTCCGTATGGGAATCTGTTAAAGCCGTCAATTTCAGAAAACTATAAGGCACGGAAAGAGCAACTTGTTTTTACAAAGATTCGACAAAATGTGGGAATGCTCAAATTTTCAAGTCTGATTTAACAATGTAAAAACTACCTAGTCACATCATTTCAAACATAATTTTTATGGCGAACCGATTTGCAACAGATCTTATTTTTCTATTAAAATAGCCTAATCAGCACTAGCCCATGATTGGCAATCACGTGTGATAACCACTGTACTAAGCCGCTTTGTACTGACCACTTGTACTTGCTTTCTAAAAGCGGCTTAAGCTTGAAATATGTACTTTTACTTTTATGTACGCAAGGCAGCATTAAAATCCTCCGCCCCAAAAGACTGAAAAACAGAAGAGGACTTATGAGCGGTCGGGCATAGTTTTGGAGAAGGTCCTAAGGTTTGCGGAACGAACGAGTTTGTCTTCGCCAACCGACGTTTACCGACGTTACGCGAGCTAGTTGGCAGCTGCCTCTAGGACTAGTAAATTTTTCACCACAGTAGATCTCCCGTTTTCAAAGAAACTTTGGGAGGGATTTTTGGGAGGGGCTTTTGGGAGGGGCTTTCTTATTGAGTGTCGGGACGTACTCAAGTAGCCCTTGCTGCCAAAATGAGTTTGCGTTAGACTGCGCACTTGCATAAAGTTTTGAGTAAGAAACGTTTTCGGTCGAGTTTAAGGACTGAAACGTCAAACTGAGCTGACCCAAGAAAAAGATTTGGCGTCAAAACCTCGAGACTACTGGGGTTTTTGAAAACGGCAGTGAGCGCACGGCCGTTAATCAAACGCTCGACTAAGCACATGATAGTGCTCAAAACCACAGTCATTTTCCTTGACCCTAAAATCAAGTAAAGCGCGCGCTTACATCTGCAAACTTTTCGCCCTCATGTACTATCTTTATTTAGACAGGTAAATAGAAAAACAGGGGTTCTTGGAAGACGACGAATGGTTACATTAAACGATCCAAAATAGTCCTACTCCGCAGTTGGAGGCTGGATTAAGTGTAAACGCTCTGCCGGAACTTCAGTTTTTAACGTTAGCGTAACGGTTTTTGCTTTTTGCTTTCTACCGCATCCGTATTCCGTTTAAATAGCTCGTAGTGCAAATCACAATTGCAGTACAGAAAACTGCTGATGAATGCAGGATCGGAGTTATTCATTACCTTGATGATCTTGGTTGATTAGAAAGTGCAGGAACAGTTGGGTTATTTGGTGACATCTATACAAAACTGATGAGTGACGAGTTTCAAAAGCGTTGCAGAAAGACGTTGAATACGGCCAGTAGATCTGACAAGACCGTTGGGTTCAATATAGAGCGAAAAAGACCATATACGACTGGACTTGTTTTATTGTTTCATACTGCCAATTGCTTGAACTCGACTGGGTTAACTCTACCTGAGACACCTGTAGACGGTTTTTTTTCTGCGGTAAAAAGTTCAAATAGGTCGATTCTTTCCTTATTTCAGGTTCTGAAAAGACGATGTCTTGAAAAGAGTCTCAAGATACATGCCATCACGCGCTTTATCTTGGAGAACAAGCTTCACTCTTCCGAAGGGTAGCAACTTCAGTCGAACCTGCAGTGCATGAAAAAAAAACAGAGAAACCTCTAAAAGTTCAACAGATCCCAGTTAGGATTGTCGACACTGATATCCACAGTGGCATTCCTATTTGACATGAAAGGCTAGAGATAACTTTTAAGAAAGAAGGGCCGTTGACCCAACTACTTTGCTTCAGACACAGCAGTAATCCCTCTAGTTCCTGAGTCAGGATGGGTTGTCACCACTAGAGAAATGAAACGATCGACTCCAGAATTTTGGCCGCCAAATTGGTAACGACATTGGGCTGTTTGCTTGTCGAGTTCAACCACTGTGATGCAGTCAGTCCACATAACTTTTTTAACAGAAACTCAGGGTTAGAGTTTTTTATAGTATCCGTCAGGCGAGTAGCATGAAGTGCAACTTGAAGCTCAAACTTTGGAATCGAGAGCATCTTCATTGGGGCTATTCTTGTTCTGCCGAACACGAACGGAAGTTGACCTTCGGAGATCGTATTTTACTGAGCGCGAAGGATTGCAACAGAACAGAAGACTTCCAATTAGTTGTGAAAGAACATGTGCAAATCAACCTCATTCTTTGAAAAATCAAAAGAGCAACGAGGTATCTTGAGCTGACTCAAAAGTGGAAAATCTGATTGCCACTCAATGATTCTGCGGTACAACTCATCCCACTTTTCGTTGATACTTTTGGTTTACCTAATAAAATAAAAGTGTGAGAAAGTGAGTTTAGTGCTTTTTTGGTTTTTGGCCTGTTTTTTTTTTACCTGCGGCGCAGAACATTTTTGGCAAAATATAACTTTGTGACCTTTTCTTTTAGGTTGACCCAATGGTGTTTCTGAGCTCTCCTGAACCAAAGCGCCATTTTACTGCGCCGCGGGCAATTTATGGAAAAATTTGACCAAAAAACGCGTTTTTGACGCGCTCTCTCGCCTCAAAATGTTTGCCTTTTGCTCCAAAGACGCATTTAGAAAAGTTATAGGGCCAGTCGGCCGAGAATGGATGTCGTAAAGTAGTACCAAAGGGTTGGTTAAGGGTTGAATCCCTAGGGTGAAGATTCGTCGCTATACCCCAATCCCTATATCTGTCCCTTGATACGACGAGTGATGGATGCTTTTCATTTTCGACTTTTATAGACTACCCCATCAGAATTTCCCCCGTTTACGAAAAGACTCCTTGTTTGGAACTATTTTTCAGACCCATCCAAAAAATCTATGGCGCCTATGGTGCCAATCATTGTAAACTAAGTTTGCATACTCCATTTTTCTAATCCAAATTTTTGAGGTTTAATTTATACTGATTTTTAACTATTGCTCTTCAAGTGTCAAATTTCTTCCTTCAAATTTTTAAACAATAACTCATCTCTTAGTCATTTTTTGCCACAACTCAATCTCTCCGTCATCTGTTTCAATAAATTAAAACTTAATCATTCAAATGAATGGCACCTGAGAAAGAAATGCCACTCAAATGATTATAACAACATTTACAAATATTTTGAACCTTTCAAAACTTCAGAATAAGTTTTGAGTCGATCTGACTATTGTTCTTCTCAGTGAAGTTAAGTGTCAGTTAAAGCTTTTAATCGTTTTCAGATTAATTATTTTTGATTGAAAGTATAAATGATGGCCTGTCATTTTCTATAAAAACATTCAACACTGGCATTCTTTTTTGAGCAGCACTGCTTGAAAGTTTCTCGCGTTGAGAGAGAAAGCAGTGTGAAGTGATAATGCATAGAGCGTTAAATGCAGTTGAAACTCATAATGATCTCACCTGCAGTTTGAGAGAAAACTTACCAAAATACTCAAAAAGATTAATGTTCATCATAAATTTTAACTGATTTAAAGAATAAATCTATATCCGCCGAGAAAAAGAAACAATATTCGATACTGTATAATTTGAAAAAAAAATAAGAAGTAGATTTTAATCGAGTTCGAAAATGATCAAGACGATGAATAAGAGTCCAGTTTTGAACAGATCTCGATTTTCACGACATATCGGGAGTGGGAACAACTCACCGACAGAAAAAAGCCCGGAGAGCATGCTGATATCTGACACCAATATTTCACTCAATAAGTTTGCCCAAAACCGAAGTGTGAACAATATCAGACCACCCCTCGGCTTGCCCCGAGCGAACGAAGGCCGAGGTCGAAAACCCGAGGCACGAGTCAAACCTCGTGTGCGATCTAAGGAACCTTTCAACACGTGCGGCGAACTGCAGATTTTAAACAGCACTGGAACCATAGTGAACAGTTCTCTAGAAGTTTCAAACTTCACTGTCAATAATTCATCCAAATTTCAAAAAGCAGCAAAAACCTCGAGTTTCAAGAAGCCAAATTTTCCGAAAAGCCCAGTAAGGCATCAGAACTTAGATGCTATTTCTCAGTCGAATCCAGACGTGAAAAAATACAAACTGCCCGAGACTTCGAGACTTGAGTCTCCCGCGTCTCCGAGGATGATGGCGAAGAATGACACCTGTGGAATCCAGTTTCTAGGCGCTGTGTGTTACTCTCCGGCGCTGAACGAATCGAAACTGTCGTCATACCGGTAGGACTTCTACTAATTATGTAAAATACAAAGTGTTGTAATTTTTTTATATTTTCAAAAATGCGCTCACTGGGAGAACAGATGCTTTATTAGCAATTAGTCATCAGTTGAATCTTAAAGTAGCTTACCGAGCCAGCACAATTTCAGATTATCATTTGATTTCTTGTTCGGGCTCTCCCAAAAAGTTTTTTTTTTTCAAAAGTTTCTGTTCAAATATCGCTTCAGAAGGTTCTAAAAAGTTAGCGCGCCCTTGTCTTTTCAAATAAAAGCATTTAGGCTCCAAAAACGCTTTTATGATCAGTCGGGAAAAATTGAATGCAATTAAAGGATACCAAGGCAGTCCTTTTGAAAAATTACAGCAACTATAGTTGTGGGGCTGGGAAATGTACTGCCTCTTCTGTATCAGGGGCAGATCTAGGGTTTTCGCGAAAGGGCGAGGCGGAGTTTTCTGTAATTCGGAGAGTTTGATTATCTCCTTTTTAGGCCAATCAAATTGAGTTCTGAGATGCCCTGAAACCTGTTCTAAAAATATTACTAGGTTGCAGATCAAATTTGAGAAAACGGCCGTTATTTGGCATTTTTGGGCGTTTTCGCGCAGTTTTTGGAAAGCTTTGAACAGGAAACTGCATTTTTGGCGTCTTTATCCGGAATCATCTCTCACCCTCCTGCAATTAACATGTTGGCGCCAAAAGTTTTTTAAAATTGAAGGACGCAAATTAGCACCAAAAGAAGGATTTTTGGGTAGCGAAGGCTTCGAATATTTGAAATGGTAGGGAATAATGTGGAAGCTGAGACAAGGTCTAACCGCCAATTACTCAATTCGTTGCTGATGTCTAGTGATTTACAATTTAATTAGACGTCTGCTTAGGTCTCAGATAAACTCAAGGTCGAGTGGAACTTTCCTAAACAGCGAGCCAAGACTGCCAGTCGCAACTGCCAGAGTTACACAACCCTTATGTCAAGACTGCGAATTATTCTTAAGCGACCTTGAACCATCCTCAAAACCCATTTCGACCATTCAGAACATCTGCCAAAAGTGTTCACACAGTCGAAAGCAGAGACGCGAGCTTATCATTGAGTTAGTTCGCGAAGAAATATCCTATGGAGAAGAGATCAGATGTTTGCAAAGAGAAGTTAGTGATCGGCTAGTTAAATCAGGCCTCATAACTAGCGCAGAGTACCAAACAATTTTTGGAAATTTGGCCGAAATAGTTCGCCATAATGCCAACTTTCTGTCGCTTTTCCGCGAGGAAATTTGGAAAGCGTTGCAAAACGGCGACCAAACTTATCATACACTGGAAATTGGGAGATTGTTTAACGAATCTTACTCCATGTTCCTATCATATGAAGCGTATTGTAACTCGGTTAACGAAAAAGTCGACAGCTTTTATAAAATTCAATCTGAGAAGAATTCAGTTAAAGCTTTTGTATCAAACTGCCAAGAACAAGTCTCCGAATTTCAAAATGGTCCTGCTGTAGAGCGATGGCTCTTGAAACCCCTGCAACGATTAATTCGATACCCGATCTTACTGGAATACATTCGAAAACTAACACCCAGAATTCACATTGATTGGATGAACTCAAAACGAGCAGTTTCCAAAATCAATTTCTATTTGAAAAGAATCAGAAACCAAAATTCGGGGGTCATTAAAAACGGAGAGCCTTCGAATCTCAAAACAGTCCGATTTGAGCCGAAAGACAACATCATTGATTGGCCCAAACTGGCTTGCCGAGAGCTCGAATCCGAAACCGAAAACACAACCTTGCTCATGGCCGATTTCGTCGGTTTCGAGAAAATATCACTGAAATCAAAAGTGACGAAACGACGTCGAAAGTACGTGGCGATGTTAGTGATACTTAGTAATTATTCCCATATGTACCTACACAACCGGAATAAAGAGGTATATCTTTTGGTTCTGAAAGAAGTAGCCAACAATGATTTCATGACGATTCGGAAACTGAACATAACCGAATGCTCTCTGTGCGTTGAGCCTGAGCGACCTTTGGTACTAGAGGTCACTGAGATTGCCACTTCAGAGGTCACTGCGGTCAAATTTTCTTCGGCTGAAACTGCGGAAGAATGGATGAAGGAATGCAGAAAGTTTGCTTTTGAGAATTCAAAGTGGAATAAAAGACGAAATGCAATGGGAAACATAATGTTAGGTGTTATTCTAGAAGCTTAGTGTCACTAGATTAATTTGAATTTTCTACCAAATTGCATGTAAAAATTTACACTTTTGCTTAAATAGTCAATAAGTCATTGGGATAGATAGCTCAAGTAACAGTAAAATGTTTAGCTCAAATCAGGAGCGGATCGATGATTTTCTCGCGGGGGGAGGGGGGGAGGGATGGATTGATTTATATTGAAAAACCTTCAAGAGTTCATCGATCTTTTTTTCTAGGCCGACCAAATAGATTTTTCGAGCTCTCACAATTCACTATAAGGAACCTATTTAGACCAAACTTTCTGCGACGCAAATTTAAAAAAATGAAATAACTTTTTAAAAATTGTAAGAGCTTTAATTTGATACATTACTCGACCCATTCCAATTATGATTTGTGGTACCTAACTTAGCATGAAAAAAACCACCTGAAACACCCTTAACAAATACAAAGTTTCTCCCGTTTTAAATGGTCAGAACATTATAACAAAACCGGAATTTTTAATATACCGGGAAACTGGATATTTCTGAAAAAACTTTTGGTCGAATCATTTGAAAACTGGGTGATTCAATTTTATCTGAGGAAAAAACGACCAAACTCAACCATATCAACGAAGCATAGTGGTGAGGCGTTCACTTCGTGATCATCAGATCGTGTAATCAATCCCCTGCCATAGCAATGATAGTGTGTGAGGACAAGCTCTCGCTTGACCTCCAGCTTCATGTCTACTACAGCCCGACCGATTACGGGTGCAATAATGGTACCACGCAAAAAGTTCTAGACCCAAAAAAAAAACAACCTTGAGTCGCAAAAAAAAAGAGTTTCACTCAACAAAATAACGCAGATTGGAATTGTGAGGAATTAAGAGAAATGGACTATGTCTAGACAGGCTGCAAAGTTTTTCATGGATCCTCTGCAAACCACAAAAACGCCAATTAAATTAGTTACTTAATCAATTCATGACTTTATTCGAAAGTTGGAAATGCAAAACAAAACAGAAAAGAACAGAGATTTTCCTTTCTATATATTGATATAACTCCACTAGTTGTAATTATAATTATTTATTTTTTGTGTTAAACAAATAAAATTGATGATAAAGTTTCAAGCTTATAAATTTAGATAGCATAAGCGTTGTGAACAAAGTGATGTATGTATCTGAAAGACCAATTCAACTCTCTCGACTCATTTGAAAAATTCCAAGCTAGATTAACTCTTCGCATGCGCCAAGAATTAACAAAAAAATAGGAAAATACAAAATGGGCTTTAATTACCCATGGTTGGCAAAGTTAAATGTTGAAACCTCCATCATCATTTTTTTATTTTAAGGCACCATTAACCCTTAGGCTCAACTGTTAAAAGTATTTAGTTCGAGCATTAGAACTGTTTTGAGTAAAACCAGAGTGCTCTCATAAGGGCAAAATTCTGAACTGCTATTCAAAATCAATTATATGTTCAATTACGCCTCACATACCAAATATAAAATGAGTTATTTTACAAAATCACTTGAAACAGAATGGATTTTTCAGGGCAGAGTGAATGAAAATTCAGATAATTTCCTTGCTCTTTTTGCACCTTCGCTGTTTGCGGAGCACAAACTCAACTACGATCTGATAATTTTACGTAGAAAGGACAAGGAGATGATGAACAAGACTAATTGGCAAACAAAATTCTACAGGAAACTCCAAGAGTCTACAAGAGTGCCAAATAAGATAGCTTTCAAGCGAAAAATATACATCGTCATGACTAACTCCTTAGCCAATTTCATCCCAAAAATTGATAGCGGTACGATAAATTTGAGATGCAATATGCTTAAGATATAGAATAAATGAGGTAATTCGCCTCCATTTTAGAGAATTATCGAAACGAATTCACAGTTCGCCACTCTTGCTTACTGATGCGGTATGAAATGGGTAATTACAAAAACAAGAATTTGCAGAATTTGCAAAAACAAGAATTTGAGCAAGGAAATTATTTCTCTACTAAAACGAGTGAGAATAGTGAAAAGCTTTGAGATTTTGGAATTTCCAAAGACATAGCATCTTTTTTACAAAACATTAAGGAGTTGCCAATTCTTTATGATTCCCAATACGGTGTTACCTGAGAATTGGCAGAGAAGTTTTCTAAAAAAGTCAGAAAATTTCCCAAAAAATGTCATATCAAAATTTCAAAACTTGACTTATTTAAAGCAATTATTTTTTTTTTTAAAAATTGGGATAGGAAGATCCTGCTGTTTCGGTTTAACCCTTGACAGCAGTTTTTGCCGGGTAGTTATCGAGAAAAGCCAAAAAGTTTCCAAAAAAAACGGTCGACCAAATTTGACATTTTAGAGTATCTAGCTGCTAATGCTAGCTGCTTATGCTGAAGAATTTCAAGCAGCCTGCATTAATAATTCAAACCCCACAAATTCAGATGTTTGAAAAAAAATTTGAGAAAAGTAAAATTTCAAAAAAAGTATAATAAAAAAAATATTATTTTTTTTCGAATCATAGTTTTTAAGGTATTTGAGGTTGAGCCACTTAAACAGAATATATTAGAGTAAATGGTAATTCCGATTGAACCTGAAAACTAGGATCGTAGATCTTGATAAAAGTCAAGAAGTTTCAAAAACAACCGAAGGCCATAAATGTTTTTGTTGTAGAAAAACTGAGCGCAGTCATATTTGCAATGGAGGTTCCAACGCCCCAGTTTTTGGGTTGAACACAAAATTTAAGATCTGGTTGGGTAGTTTTTAGAGAAAAGCTCAAAATGAAAAAAAAATTGTCCAAAAAATTAAAAGCTTGCTTTTTCAGTGGGCAATTTTTTTGTATGTTAAAAAAACTATGAGTGGCCGCTGATGCAAGAGAGTTTCTCACTAATCATCGTTGAGCTCCTTTGAAGAAAACATAAGAAATAATCAAAACCATTGATCAATATTTCACCCGTCAGATTTTTTGGAGACTGTTGACCGAGGGGTAAAGTCGAATGAGACTGGTGAAGTATGCAGGCACAGAGGAGAGAAGGCGGTTTTTCTATTGATACCCATTTTTTGAAAGTCACTAAAAAGTTTGCGAGATACCCATACCATAATTTTAAAAAATACTTGTTTGCATCAAACATGCCAAATACAAGCTTTGAAATTTGATCAAGCAATGGAGCAAATTTTACGAAGCGGAAAAAAAGCCGACAATCTTTCGACAAACAACAGTTGAGCCGAAAAGAAATGACTATTGATAAAACTTTTAAATGTTTCGAGTCACCCTGAAGCTACAATGAACAATACTTGCAGCTATCATGGAACTTGCTTACAGCACAAAAAAATCCGTGATATGGTAACTAAGTAGACAAAGCTTGCGCAGAAATTAGACATAACAATTTTACTGAAAAAAAAACTTTTCAGTGGCATGCATGCTGAAAAAAACAAGGTCTGGCCGGGATTTGAGTCCCTGACCTTAGTGTGTAAAGGCGATGGTGTTAACTTTAGGCCAAGTGCAAAAAAAACTTGAAAGCTGTTAACATTTAATACTAACAAAAGTTGGAAACTAAAACAAGTTAACACTTAATACTTAGTATTAACATTAGTTATTACTAAAACAAGTTAACATTTAAAACTAAAACTAGTTTTTCCGAAAAATTGTAGGAAAAATTATTTACGGAAAAAAAGTCTTGTTTCATTGCCTAACGAAAACAACCAACATCTAACGTTTTTTTTTCTGGTGGGAACGTTGTCATAGCCTGGGACAACAACAACGGAATTTTTGCATGCTGCAAAAAAAACGCAAAATCAACTTTGCTTTGAAATATGTGCCGATGTGCCGTCATTGATAAAACTTGTTTCGACAAAAATAATAGTTTCCCATTGCCAATAAATAAAATGGCGAAAGTGCAAGCAAAACAAATTTACGGAAACGGTCTTCAGAAGTAAGGATAGATTTCAGTCAAACCGATAACATCGAGTTGACAAAAAAAACTAAATAAATAGTTTCTAAAATCAAATTTATTTTTTTTGGAGAAAAACCACTCGGAGTCTTTACATTCTATCATTCCTGAAAGTTGTTGTGTTCAGATGTTTGTCTTTTTTCTCATTGGTATTGTGTTTAAGTAACATTGCTCGGTCCGATAGTTTCCATACCCACATGTTATTGATTTTTGGAGTAATATGGGAACTCTTAATCAAACGGTTAAAACTGTGGATGATATACATCATTAGGGTGCAATAATTTGAAACTGTTAGTACCAGAAATTAATCATCAGAGTTTATGGAGTTTATGGAATTTAATCATCAGAGTTTTCGTTTGCTAGAGTATGTGCCAAGAAACCTAAAAATCCTATGTGCCTAAAAACCTGAAAACGCTCAAAACAAAGTCAAATTTTAAAACCGAAGTAATAAAAAAATTACATCATTGAAATGAACAAGTACCAGTTATAAAAACTTTTGTTGGTTTTAAATTTTATATGTATATATAACTCTTATATTTACTATATTTTAATTTTTTTTCTCTTATATTGTTTAGAAGCCAGCCTGAAATTCACTTGATGTGGCTTGTTGATTTGCAAACTTACGTCAAAATATTGTTTTAATTTTCAGATTTATATTAACAAAATAACATTTGTGACAAAAGTTTTTTCCATAAATAAGGTGGGATTAGAAAATGTAATGTTAATCATTTTCTTGCTTTATTTTTTTGTTTTATAGCAGTTGAAACAGTTCTCAAAGCAAAACAAGACTGCTCGTATCAGGGCGAAGCCTTGAATGTTCCGACTGCTTTTTAAGGTTTATTGAACAGTAATAACATAATAAATTTAAAAGTAATAAAATAGAACGAAATTTTTTTTTTTACTTATATTTGAAATTTTCTATGAAAATCGCCAACCACACGCCATATAAGGTAAAAACAGGATAAATTTCGCTCCCTGTAACAAATCAATTAGGGCAAATAAGCTCCTTTCAATCAATTTGGAATGATATCTATGACACATTAAATCTCCGCTTACGCTTTAATAGCGCGTTAACTGTCCCAAATTGGCCAAAATGGCAATCTTTAGGCCCCCATAACGATACGAAAAATGATCACAGCTGACATATCTTTTCAATTTTAACCTCCGGGCAACACTACCTTTTGAATGACAAAAAAAAATTTGTCAAAAATGGCTAGTTAAAAAGTCGAAATTTGTCTGAAGAAAAAAAACCCAGCCCGAGCACAAATATTCGGTTACTTTCGTATCCAAAGTCGTAACAAAAAGCAAGTTTGTTCGAGCATCGATTTAATCTGCTCACAAATAATTTTTTAAAATAAAATAAAGAAGACTTAACAGTTCCTTTTTTCCATATTTGATATTATTTTGACAGAGATCTGATCATTTTCAAACAAAAAGGACACAAGTCAGAATCGGCGATTTCCAAGTCTATGCCCTACAATAAATTTCTTTATTGATGGATCAATATAAACTTGAATAGCATCGTTCATATTTATATGATGAGGATGTGACCATGTGATCAAAACATTTTTACCATCGCGGCTTGAACTGTTCTCGAAATTAGCTGCTCTATTTGACATGGATTTGAAAATTGCAATTGTTCAAACATTCCATCTAGACTTTTTCCAGTTTTCTACTTACTGCTTCAGATAGTATACACAGAGGTGAAGCTGCACAAACGAAAAAACAGAAAACAGAAGTTCTAAGATGGGATATAAGTAAAAGTAAAGAAATGAGTGTTAAATACTAAGAACTTTTGCAAAGTATCGTATTCGAATCTCTGACCCCGGGATTAGCACCTGCGCCACTGACCTTCGAAATAACAAAACTGTCCACCAAAAAAGCAGATACAGATTCTAATAAATTGTCAATGCAAAGTAGCAAAAATGCAAACCAAATAAGAAACAAAACTAGTGCTAAGTCGTCTTAAATGAGCCAAACAGATTAAAAGTCTCGTGGTTTTCTTTTCATGCCACCGTCACTTGATGATCGCAAAAAACGCAACCAAAATGCGAAAACAGATGTAAATAACATTCCAATACTGCAGATTTTGATTATAGCAAAAGTGTCACCAAATGGTCAATTTTTTAATTTTGGTTAGAAAATGATTTTCACGACTACACTACGCTCACTTGCTTGCATGTATAACAAAAATGACAGAGCATTGCAGTTGTTCCCATTTTTCCAAAAAAAGGATTTGAGATTGCGCTGATATGTTGTGTCTGATCGCAATTCGTTCCATTGATTCAATTGCAACTCCCGGAAACCAAATTAATCAAATAATCTGAGAGTGATTGACAAGTTTTACATGGTATTAAACAGGCAAAAAACAGCGAGAAAACAAACGGTATTTTCCCTATCTTTTCAATTTACTTCAAGATATATTTTCATACCGAATTTCGTACCGAAAGCATTGAATCATTGCATATGCTTGTAATGAATCCTTGATTTTGACCAGTTTCGTTGTTCGACATAATAGATTTGAAGGCAAAATTTTATCCCAAAAAAGAGTGCAAAGATAAGAAGAAATTATCTGGAGGCGAGCTAATTGGCGCGGACCTGTCTACTAGCATGAGCACCAATTTGCCTGCAATTAATAATTTTGTTTGCTAAAAACTGTTGAAGCGCAATAAAATGGGGTAGCGAAAATGGCTTGACAAAAAGCTTAACTCCGCAAAAGGGTAAAGGCCGTAATGTACAGTACGAATTCTAACTTCGGTTTTCTGCGCTAGCACCAATTGCTAGTTAACACTGTTGAATTTCAAACTTGTCAATGCCTTGTTCAAAATCAAAGTGGAATTAAAACAAAAACCCAACAACACTATTCCAATTGAGCATGCTAATCGACTGAAATGCGGAATGCTACGACAATTTATTTAGATATAATGGTTCCTTATGAGCCTCAATTCCATATCCATATCACTAACTAGTAACTTTTGGATGTTGATGTAAGAATTTCAAATTCTAAATTTTAACATTTATTCCAGAAACTGTATTCGAGAACAATCATAAAGTGCAGATTGAACTTTTGGGTTCTGCCCTGATACGAGTAGTCTCGTTTACATTCACATCAGTTCATATATAACGCTCAGTGCAAATCCTATGAGAGCTGTGACTTGATTTTGATATTTTCAGTTTTCTGAGGCGCGTGACAGCAAACCTTCAGCTCTAGCAACGTCCTCCCAATCTAGTGTCAGTCAATAGTTTTGCTTGTTTTTGCTTCAAATAAAAATTTTTAGATTAGATTGGGAACAAATTATCATTATCCGCTCTGAAATAATCTTTCCAAAATGAATGGAGGCCAGCTAAATGATTTCCGTTATTCGATACAAGACAATTATGACAGCTTTTTAAAAAAATTTTGCCATTTGTGAAACCACAAAACAGCAGGCAAGACAAATGTCTTATTCCAGACTTTGCTTAAAAACAGTTAAAAACAGATGAGCATCAAAAACAGTGCCAACTAATTTAGTATTGAGCTGCTCAACTTAAATACCAATTTTCCATTAAAAAATTGTTCAGACAAAAATCAACTGGAGAAATCATATAACAAGATCTAATGATTGCTTCATATATTAAATAAAATTGACAGAAAACATTATACTATTGCAGTTTTTCGAGATAAACTAGTTTTCGAACTAAGCTGGCATATTATGCCTCAAGATTTCATTTCTTTCATTCTACTGCAGCTTCCGAAAGCCAACAGAACATTGTTCATAGAGCTTTGAAGATGGTTAAACTTCTCGTTTCGGGTCTACTTCAAGTACACAATTTCGTCCTTCTTGCGGACGGGGTTGAATGTGCCGGGCTTCTTCTGTGACTCCGGGTGGTTGGCCAGTTCGGGGGGACAGGAGGAGACTGGACTCTCCCCGATGACCTCTTTGAGGTCGTAGAAGGTGGCCGAGTCCTCCTGGGTGAGAAGTGTGACTGCCACTCCGTTCTTACCCGCTCGTCCTGTTCGCCCGATTCTGTGCGTGTAGTCTGAATAAAAAATATTTGTGTACATAAGTGTACATTACAACATAATGGATATTCGGACAACTAAAAAAAAGGTTGATTCGTATAAGTTGGGGCGGATCTAGGATTTTCTCGAGGAAGGCAGGGCGCATTTTCAAAAAAAATTCAAAATTTTGTTGACTTTTTTAGGTCGACCAAATTAATTTTCGGGCCCTGTTTTGGCCAAAATTTCTGCTCCGCAAACAAACTTAAAAAATACTAATCGTGAAAACGAAGAGAGAGAAAACGTCTTTTATTGTGACCTTGTATATTTTTGGCCATGTCGTAGTTGATGACCATGGAGACGTCTTTGATGTCTATGCCTCTGCCTGCGACATCTGTGGCCACCAGAATATCCTTGCTGCCCTGTTTGAGACTGTTCAAAGCCAACTCTCTCTGCTCCTGACCCTTGCCTCCATGAAGCGCACACGGGTTGAACTAAAAAAACAACGACAAGGTCATACACTTTAACACATTTATAAAAAAACGAAAGTTGTCCCAAAAACTTTACATTTTTTTGGGACAACTTTCGGTTACGTCTCCGCCTCTCAATCGAAAGATCGGATGTTCGAGGCCCACCATGATCCGTGCTCGTTGCTTGAGGGTGAAGCAACATTACCCAGCCCAGAAAAATAACCAAAAAAATTGCATGTAGTTCTTAAAACAGGGGCACAACAGCGGTTCGCCGTGATGAGCTGTACAGCTCTTGTGTTGGTCCTTTCCCCCGAGGATAAATGGTCTTAATGTAATTGTAGTCATCGATTGCATAATTACCTTCCAGGTATTTCCAAAATTTGTATCAAGCGAAAATTTAGAACTTAATGAATTCCTTTCCTTAATTCGCAAATTCAAATTGATCATGGACAATATTTTAGACATCAAATCTGATTCCAAAAAAAAATCAACAAGCAAATGTTATTAAATGGCCTCATTAAATACTAATCATAACACTATCGCCAATGACAGATCTGACTGATACTGTTATAGAGTAGGTTTGTCCATGTATGAGTACTCACCCCCATCTTCTCGAGTGACTTGGCCAGCACATCTGCACCCTTCTTCTGGTTCACGAAGATGATGATAGGGGGATCGAAGCCCTTCTCTAACAGTTCCACCAGCTTCTTCCTAAGCACACACGTAATGTTTCATAGATGCTTTCTAGATCAAGGAAAGAATGTTGGCGGTGAGTGCTACGAAAAAATGAAAGATTGAAGAGGAATTACTGAAATTTTAAACTTAAGTAAAGATGAAGACCGAGTCAAATTGATTTAATTCAAAATTTTCTTTCTTGCATCATTATTGCCCTTCTGAGAAATGACGCGCATGGTTTTTTACCATTCAAAATAAGTTTTGCGAGAGGAGCGTGCCCAATTTTTTTGCTCATTATTGAATAATTAAGCTCGAGCTCCATATTTCCGATATGCGAAAAAGTGGGTTTGCAGTACAACACTGAGGTGCGCTCGTGTGAACAGATTTCGAGATATAAAAAATTCCGCATTTGAACAAATTACGTCATGAGTAGAGTACAAGAACTAACTTCTTCTGTCCTTCGGCCATCATGTAGATGATCTGTTCGACTCTCTCGGTCGGTTTGCCCACACAGCCTATGTGCACGACAGCTGGTCTCCGCATGTATGTCTTGGCCAGTCTCTCCACCGCAGGAGGCATAGTCGCAGTAAACATCACCGTCTAAACAACAACAAACATAAAAATGTAAATACTTACAAAGACAAAACTTACATCAATCAACTAAAAAGGAGCCAGAAAAAGATGTGAAATATTTACGGAAAAAACCAAAAACATTTTTTTTTCAAACTTCCGCTACAAGATTGAGTTTTGTCTTTTTCGTCATTTAATATTTAGAGACATACCTATCGGGCATACACAACACTGCATAACACAATTAAAACTATTATGAAATAACTAAAATATTATATATGTCAATCTTTAAGACAAACTGAAATTTTGGCATTTTGAGTGATTTATTTTCAGAAACTCTTTACTTCTGTAACCAACTAAATATAATTCAAAAAGAGAGAAATTATTCAGAATGATGGCACAATCAATGAACTGCCCAATGACACACCTGTCTGTACTTCTGTTTGGTGTCGTAGTTCTGCAACATCTTGCTTTCATCTTCTGCCTCCTCAGTGTCCGGCTTCTGATTAGTCACCGGCAAGTGGGTCAGGATCTTCTGGATGTCCGGCTCAAATCCCATGTCTATCATACGATCCGCCTATCAAAACACACACAACACAACATAACAAAACGTCACACTCTTAATCGTGCCTGATTAAAGTAAAATATATTTATTCCAGATATGAAACAAAAAAAAGGTTATTAACTCGTTTCTTGTGTTGTGTATGTATACTGACCTCGTCCATGACTACGTAGGTGCAGTTCTGCAATACCAGGTATCTGTTCTCCAGCACATCTATCAGACGACCAGGAGTCGCTATCACTATCTAAAACACAGCAAATATACATTTTGATACTAAATCAAATTGGAAAAATTTAATGTCGCGTCAAATATGAGACATTTAAAATTTCAATTCTTTAATTAATTGAAAAACTTCATAATTTAGCCCCAGAAAACACAATTCTTTACTCTTATCTTTATGAGATTTTAGTCAAGAAATTTAAATTCAGTTTAGAACTCAGAGAAGTTATCACCAATTCCCACTAAATTCTATGACTGATTCACCCATTCTGAAACTACTCTTTATTTTTGTTGTGTTCGGTGTTATATATTCCTCGTGTACTGTACTGACCTCGCAACCCAGCCTCAGTTTGAAGCCCTGCTCCTCTCTGGAAAGTCCTCCGATTACAGCAACTGTCTTGATGTCGAGGAACTTGCCGAACTTGATCGTCTCGTCCTCTATCTGCTGGGCCAGTTCACGAGTAGGCGCCAGAATGATCGCATAGGGACCATTCTCCGCATCTTGCTCACTGCAAAATAGCAACACAGTTAGCTTGTACCAGCCTCAAGATCTTGGACATTTAGTTATTCAATTCGATAAATAAATTACCAAGTATTAATGCTCTTTGCTAAACTGTCTATCATAGTATTAAAATCAGTGTATTTTAAAATAATCTCTCTTTTCTTAAAAGTTATTGTCGTTTTTAGTGAGTGATGTCTTTGAACTATACAATCGCGTAAAAAAACTAGTGAATTAGGCATGATCGACAACACGTGTCTCCAAAAAAATGAATACCAAACAAAAAAAATGAAAAAAAAAAAAAAATTAACAAAATTAATTTAAAAAAAAATTAAATTAACGCTAAAGAAACGCTAAAAGAAACCTCCAGTACTAGATATCTTCATAGTAAAATCAAAATTTTTATCTTAAAGTCTAAAAAAAGTAAATTTCCATATAACGAGCGTTACTCGCCCAAAATTAGACTGGGGACAATTTTTCGTTCGAATCACGACCGAAGGAGCTTTAATATGATATACCACTCGACCTATTTCGATGATTATTTGTGATACCCGATTTTATTTGGAAAAAAGTGGAAAAAAACTAAAACACACGCAAATACAAAGTTGCTCCCAATTTAAAGAATGGCACAATGAAACCATAAAACCGACATTGACAGTATGATTTTATGATTGTATAAACTTGTTCAACTGTTTTTTTTTTCAATTCAAGAACGTGGCAGTGGTAAGACTAGGACTGGCAGTTGTTTGTTTTTAGACTTACCGTTGTATTTTGGGCAGTTTGGAGATCCAGACTAGAAGGGGGACGAGAAATGCACACGTCTTTCCTGACCCAGTCTCCGCCACTCCGATCACGTCTCTGTTCTGCAGTCCAATCGGAATGGCCTGTCTCTGAATTGGAGTGGGCTCCTACACAAAATCAAAACACATTAACATTGTGCACTTATTCAAGTCATTCGAGAGACCATGCGACCTTCTGATCTCTTTTTGGATACCAACATCATGTCACGCTGATGCAAACTAATTCCTTCCATGAACTGCAAATTAATCAGCTCAAAAAAAGAGAAGCGAAGAAAAATGGTGTGTTTTTATCCCAGCACACTCCCGATTGGCATCTTGATTAGCCGATTGTATACCGCCATTGCTTTTCAAACATTTTTACATTGCCACAATTCACAGCTTTGAATGCCTTGTTATCAAAAAAAATCATGTGCACTAATAACAAAATCAACAGCAAGAACAGTTCATAAAAGATAAAAAAGATAGACTTTAAAAAAACTTCTGGGTCTCCGGATCCAAAAACCATCGCTCCTTATTCAAAGTCACTGAGAGCTAATATAGCTCAGAAGATTTATAATATCAAAAAATTAAACTGTAAACAAGCTTAACACAGAATTGAGCATTTTCACTAGAAGAAAACACTTCTATAGGCCAATATAGTGTTTATTATGACAACTTGAAATGAAGTTTTACTAACATAGTAGTTGATCTCGAGGAGTATGTCCTTGATGAAGGAAGGGAATCCTGCCTCCTCCCAACTGCGGATAGGGCGGGGGATGTTTCCACCCTTGGAGGAGATATTGTAGTCCTCCTTGAAGATACGCCAGTCCCTGTTAGTCATCTGGTCCAGCATCTTCTCACGCCAGTGACGGTCGTCAAATCTAAATAGATTTATTGACAACCATATCAAATCCAACATTCAATTGAGAAAAAAATTAAAGTATTAACAACAAATAGCAAAGCAAACACTAAAGAGAAAACATAAAAAGGAAAACACCAATAAAAAATACGAAAAAAAAACTGAAAATATTGTGAAATTGAACAGATATTGTGAATTTGAAAAAAAAATCACCACGATCTCAAACTGCTCAATAATTCGAAAAAAAACTTCATCACTGATTTAAAATTCTACAAAATTGTAATTCATTCTCTGCCTATTCGCATCTCCTCTTTTAGACTTTGTTATCTTAAAAAAGTTCTCAACCCACAATTAGAGTGCTGAACTTGATAAATTCTGGAACTGTTTCCAATTTCCAGTACTCACTTCTCCTTGGCTGATTTGGCGGCCACGTCCTTCAGTCGCTTCTTCTCCTGGTCTTTCTCCTCCACAGTCCTCCTCTGCTCCAGCAGATTTGCGTAGAACCTATTCTGCTCCTTCTTCTGTTGCTACAACACATCAACACACATATACAGCTGAACAATTGCACACAAGGACCTTTACACATCAGATTTTTAAAAAATCTTAAAAAAACCTGTGCTAACATTGAACACCCGCCCAGCCAGTGTTCCGAAACCAGGAGCCCAATTTCTTAGCTTTTTAAATGTTTTGTGAAAAAAAGACTTGCATGACAAAAATGTTGACTAACAAAACAGAACATTTAACGCAGTCAGGAGCGTATACATGATTTGACACGGAACTAAAAAAAATAAATATTTGTACTTTTCTTTGAATCTTTGCTTGAATTTTCAAATCGGCCGACCAAAATAGTTATTGAAAGATGTGACATAGATGAATGTTGGGTGGATGTTAATCTATGCTAAGAAGGAATTAGTTCCTTTTCGAAACTCAGTTAGCCCGGAGATCAATTATGGAAATGTGTAGTGGTATCGTGCCTTGATGTCGATGCCGGCGAGATGTCCCCTGCCGAAGAACTGGAGAGAGTGTCTCTGCTTGTAGAGGTTGTCGTAGTCCTGCGCAGAGGTGTCCTCGTCCGCATTCCAGTCGAACACGAACTTCCGCTCATTCAGATGTCTCACTCTCCGCTTTCTCCTCCCTCCTCCACCAAGGTAACGGTTCTGCATCACAATTAGAAAATTAGTCAGTCAAATCAAGGCATGGCGAACAAATAAAAATAATGAGAAGAAAAATTGTGCAAGAAGGGACCCTGTCGGTCAGGAGGGGGTACAATCCCTAAGAGGGGTAGCGTCCACCCTAACACCCCCAGCCCTAAATTCGCTAAAGGCTGTAATTTCAAAAAAAAACAATTTCGCAAGAGATTTGCAATTACGAGATGAAAAAATAAGCAAGATTTTTTTCCGGATGTGAACACTGTAGATTACTGGTTTTGGTTGTGAAGCGACTCAAATCAAACATAGCAAACAGAGAGCTGGAGACGAGTCAATGAACGCAAGTAAACAGAAAACACAGACTTGTTTTTTGAAAAATCTCAACTTTCGAATTTGGCGCTGAAGCTCTTTGAATTTGTAGAGCAATTTATGATTGACACTTTTTGATTAAATTAACCCAATACAAAAAAACTGGATCAATTAGAAAATTAATTATTTTGCTAGAAAATCTGATAATTTTTGAAATTCGAAGTCCTTCACACTGTTCAATAGTGGAGTTTGTCTTCTTTTAACAAAGGAAAACAACTGAGATGGAAACAAATCGTAAAAAAAAACCGCAAAATTTAAGCGTGAACAAACGTTACGAGTTTTCATGAAAAAAATCATCACGACCTCTATATAAGTCTGATCTACGTTCAACGAATCTTAATAACTCCCCGAACAGCTGCCGAACTGATAACATGCATCAAAATTTATTGCGTTTGAGTAACTCAGGATCAAATTTTAGCGGTCATAGCGTCAATTTACAAGCGCATGAAATGTTAAAAAATTGAGAAACATTTCCAGCATCTGTTAAACTGATCGTTTATTGATATATTAATAAACTCCACATCTTACCTTCCATTTTTTAAGTATTTATGCATATGCATCAAAACACACCCTTTATAAAAGTCTCGTAGGTTATGAAACAACCTTGCTCATTGTAGCAGACCTGGCTACCAGTAGCACAATAGATTGTAAAAAAAACATTTTATAGAAGATTCCTGAAAAAAAATACTAGCAAGTGTCCTCAGAAATAAGGAAGTCCATGACAAATTTTAGCCTCGACGGATTCTTGAAAGGAAAGCAGTGTTTCTACCTTTTGTAAAAGTTTAAAGGTTGACAGTAATGGAACGAATGTTTGAATAAAGACATTGTTAGTAAAAACACAAAATGACGAGTTAAGCAACGCCACCGTACAAACTATTAGCGACACTCGCACTCATGACAATCAGATGCGGGCGGATACAACACAGATCATAATAGGAGATCCTAAAATTTGGACGGACTAAATAAAAAGACTTATTTTAACCGCAAAAAGACCATTTCGAATCACTCACCCTGATCGCCTGCTGTTCCTTCTCATTCAAAACATACTCCTGCTGTTGTCCATCTACCGCTCCCTCTTTACTCCCCTCCCCTTTTCCAGCCTCTTTCTCTTCTCTGCCTCCTCTTCCCCTCCTGCCCCTGCCCCCACCACCATCACTGCCCCCACCGTCTGAAGAGTGACCCCCTCCGTCACTGCCACCACTGTTCCTTCTCCGCCTGTGTCTATCTCTGCTATTTGATCTTGACCTACAACAGTTTATGCATATCCAATCCACCACAGATTAAAAGGAATGTATAAAAAATAACAAATTGGATTTTTCAAGTAAAATCAAGATATGCCAGCAGCTGTGCAAGAAAAACAGAAGAAATCGACAGCAATTGCAATGGTTCAATGGTTCAAACTTAGTGAGTTTGAAAGATATACTAAGAGAATGTCAAAAATTTTTCAAATAGCCAATAGAACAAAACAGCCAACTAATAAAAACGAATATGAATAACAAATTTTGCAAATGATTCAGTTTTAAAATTATAGATAGTATTAAAACCTCTTAAGAGCTTCAAAAACCATTTATGATTGAAAGCGAACCCAATTTGAGTACCCTTAATCGACATGCAATTCTTATTATTCTGTTGAGAAATCTTAAAATTAAATTCCTAGCGTTTCTCTTTCGATTTCTGTCTCAACTCATAGGAACCGGAGAAAAAACTTTCCAGGCTTTTGTCACCTTTAAATTCTTTGATTATAAAGATAATTTCATCGCGTATTAATTTTCTTTATCAAGTTTTAGAGAAAACTGACCCACAAAATCTTTAAAAAATCAATTCAATCCCGTTTTTTGCGCCAGTTGCGCTTCTCATAGCGGGATCATCAATTACTTTCCATTTGTTAAATGAATCAAAATGAAAAAAAAACTCGAACCGGGATCGAGTCCTGGACCTCATCTCGCGTCTCCTCTGTCTCAGCAGTTCCCGCTCTCTCTCCCTCTCCGCCTGCCTGTCCAGGGCACTGGAGGGCGCAGACGCATTCGCCATTGCCAGTCTCCGCTGCTGCTCTAAAACATCATCATCATCATCATCATCATCATCATCATCATCATCATCATCATCATCATCATCATCATCATCATCATCATCATTTATCGTCTTCAATTTAATTTTTTTGAGCAACAGACTTTCAATACAAATTTTGCCTGGAATAAAATGGTAGTTTTAAACTTGGTAATTTTAAACCACGATTGACAAAAATTTTGCGTAGTTTTGTAATAACTCTAAAAAAGGGATTCAAACTATCTACAGATGGTAGTAGGAACTAAAAGATAGAGCCAGCCAAGCAAGGATTTAAATTAAATTCTTTATTCATTCCATTCGACGTTTTTTAGACCTCGCGACAACTAGACGAAACCAGATGGAACAACAAGCCTTGAATTATCTTTAAAATATTCACTAGTTAAAATATACACCACATCCTTTACGATAATCAAGTTACAAAAGAGTCTCAACTCGACTCTTTAACTTAAATCTTAGTATACGTCTTTTTCTTTGAATTTGACATCATAACTAAAAAAAACTATTTTTGCTGTTCTTTTCAGGCCTTTCCGGCTCCAGTTAAGAATTAACAACAAAACATAGGCCAATGATCAAGGCTATTCTATTAACTTAGCGCAACTCGCAGCACCAATTGTTTAAATACAAGAAAAAATGATCCTTCAAGTGCAAATGTTTGCGGCCAAGTGCAAATCACTTTATGACAGTTTTTACATATACGTTATTTCAATTTTTGGTTACATGAATTACTCATCATCATTTCAACTAAATGAGAATCACACCGAATTTAATTCTACAACTCGCACTCATTTGGTTGCTGTCTTTTACCATCGGAACTATTTTTTTTCAGAGCAAGAACACTTTCTCAAACAATGATTCCTCCCATATTGAAGAAATCAGTAAAAAATGCAAACAACGAATCACAACTTTACCCTTACCCAAACTTGGAAAACGCAGTTATTTTGCCAATTTACCCGAAATGACTCTTTTAAGTCAAACAACAATCGAAGGAAACACAAAGCAATTCGTGATTGGTTACAAGGCTTTCGATTATGACGATTATCTCGAAAAAGGTCTGCCTAATCGACAGATAATAGTACTGACTATATCTCGATCGTTTCTAACTCAAACTAGCAGTTCAAATCCCAAATGTATGTTATGGAGATCTAATGAAGACATCATTCCGATATTAGTCAATGCGGACTATATTTCCATATCTGGGCTCAAAAGTGATCACTCAATGTGTACTTCCGTATATCACTTAATTAAAAGCAGGGCACAATTCTACTCTTCCCGATTAAAACTTGCGTTTTTTTCACGACAATTGGCATCATACACTTTTTTGCATATAAAAAAAAAATTGTCGAGTTGACACTTAAATGTTGACGAAGTTTTCAAAAAAAACGGTTACTCGTAAATAAGCGAAGCAGAAGTTCAAATGTAAAAACAAAAGTGCTCAAGAGCTAAATTCAAACACAGAGGCGAAGACTGGCGAGATGACGACAAAAAGCAGCTCTATAAAGTGCAAAAGGAAAAAGTAGAAACAAGCCTCGAATTAGTTAAGAATCGGATAAGTCTCGGATTCAAACCTACGACCTACAGAATATGGGTCTCATGCACTAAAACAACTCGGCCACGGACGTTTAATTGATCACAAACACTAGCCAGAAATAAAACAGAGAACATGCTAAGCAATTTTCAATGCTACAGTGAAACTTCCATAAATTTCCACGCTTTCAATGAACACTTTCATTTGTGAGTTACCTTAGAAAAAAAGAAGGTTCGTACTAAAACACTAACGCTCGCTAGAGTGAACATAGCCAACACACACAGCTGGGAAAGATTCAATGAACGCAAGTAAACAGAAAAAATACTAACTTATTTTTTTGAAAACTTTCTAGTTTCGACGATAAAAAAATAGATGGCTTTCAAAACTTTCTAGTTTCGACGATAAAAAAATAGATGGCTTTCAAGTTCTTTGAATTTTTACAACAATTTATGATTGACACTTTTTGATAAAATTAACCCAATTTGAGAAAACTGGATCAATAGGGAACATTTTTATTCCGCTGGAAAATCTGAAATTGAAATTCCACTTTGGAAACTAGAAGTTGATCAAGTTTTTTTTGTGACTTGTACACTTTTGCAATTCGATAGTGGAGTTTGCCTTCCTTTGAACAAAAGAAATGAACTAAACTAAAAAAGAAATCAAAAATCAAGCCTCGAAAAAGTAAATTTGAGCTTGAACAATTTTTAGACTTTTTCTGGAAAAAAAAATCGCAGCCTATATAAAAGTCTGAACTAATTCGACCAAATGCAAGAAACAGCGCGCCAGCGAGTTACTGTTTTGAAATCAATTTGCAGTTCCATTAGAGTCAATGCTAGTTTTTTCGTATTCTTCATTGTGATTCCGACGCGCGCTCGTCGGCTGATTCATAAGCATTAGCTGTCAAGTTATTCTCAGAAATTTTAAGCTGTCGAATCTTCCTATTTAGCCGGAAATACTTCCAACCTAATCTACCTGTAAATAAAAAATGAGAAAACCGATCTAAGTCATCACTTTTGATTGCCCGCACCTAATTTGCAGAGCTACCAATTAGCTACAACGACTACGTCGAAATGTCTGGATTTCTGTGCCAAATTCCCCCAAGCCAAACCAACACCAAATTCCAGTTCGTGTCGATCTTCCGGCAGAACAGCGTAGAACAAGAATCAGACACATCGCTCAGGGATATCATCACTGGCTACTTGGAGATTGAGACAAGCAAAGAAGTGAATGAAAAAGAACAGAAGCTGTTCGGCTACTGTGGATCCACTTGGTACAAACTAGAGGATCAGTCTAGCACGGATCACTATCGACTACTGGTTTGTAATTCCTATTACTTACATTAAATAACCACGGCGTTTTATTTTTGTCCAGCACAAAGCATTCTAAATCCAAAAACTAAGTTCTGACTACCCGAGGAGGAAAATTTGAACTGGAATCTATACTTCAATCTATTGCAGCGCACGTTCTTATCCAACAGACACAAGTCAAGGAACGCAAGTACACAGAAAAAAATATTGACTTGTTTTTTGAAAAAATCTTAATTTTCAATTTCCAAGACAAAAACAGATGGCCTTAAAGCTCTTTCAATTCCTAGAACAATTATTGATTAACAGTTTTTCGATAAAAACTAACCCCATTTGAGAAAACTGGATCAAACTGTAAAAATTTTGTTTCGATTGGAAATCTGATAATTTATTCCATTTTCGAAATTAGAAGTTGATCACATTTTTCGTTACCCTTACATTTTTTCTGTTCAATACTAGAATTTGCCTTCTTTTTGTATCAAAGTAAACGCACTGAGCTTAAAAAGAAATCAAAGTTATTCAAACCGCAAAAAAAGTAAATTTGAGCCTGAACAAAATTTACCACTTCCTGGAAAAAAATCATCGCGACGTATATAAAAGCCTGAAGTACGTTCAGCGACTCTTAATCATGGGAATAGGGGATGTGTTCTAGTTGAAAATCATTCAGCTGTTTTCACAAGTTCATCGACAGATAATTCACATGTCGTCGTCCGAATCATTTAATGGACAAAATAGCAGGGGAGATGGAGTTGCCAGATAGGTATGAGTGACATATCACATTTAAGGATTTAAAGCCTTTTCAGCCGCGATTCAAAAGATACTGTGAAAATTTTTATATATACTTAGAAAAAAGCTGTTTACAAAGTACGTATTTAGAATATTCCAGAGCGACGGAGTCTCCACCTTAGTGAACTTTTCCAAATAACAATTAACCGAACCAGCAAAGTTTTTCATACACGGCTAGTTATTCAATTAGAGCGCTACAATTAACGTTTTCTATCCCCATTTCTCCAAACCAAAAAAATGCTGTTTTTGTACAAATCATTGAGATCAAAATATTTTATGCTAATTATGCAGCAACGAATGTTCTTCTATATTACTAGGAATGGTTTGAGTTCCACCTGATGATTGGTATTCAACACTTCCATGTATCCATACCCACCAAAAGACTCCCAACAGTTCATCTTTCTCGTCAATCAATGCAAATTCTGGACCACTACCAGCAACTAGGTTCTTTTTTTTACCTATTTTCTATTAAAAATTAATATCACAATAAAAAATCACATTAATTTGCGCAGCAAGTGATTCAGCGACTTTGTGTAATGCTCGAAAAGATATCAAGATTGCAACTCAACGCAAAATAGCAGTATCATATTTTATTGTCCGATGTCGGATTGAATTATTAACATAGAGGCGTGGCTGAGCTTCGCATTACTTGCGATTCAACGCTAGCGTGGCATTGCAGCAAGCGAATAGAAACCGAAACAAGAAAAAATTGAGAAGCACAACTACCAACATAAAAAAAAGTTTAGTAATTGGCAAGCGGCTTGTCAAAATGTTTTGAGCGATTACATGTTGTATGAATTTTTGCGCCACTAATGACCTAAAATAATGTTTTGCCCTTTAAGCGATACAAAATAAGCCGATCAAACATAAGAAGAAACCACTTGGGCCAAATGAAGCTATTGAGTCACATGATAACAAAAAAGGTTAACACACTTAGTCGGGCTAATTAAATTACAAATTACAGAAAATCAACAACACTCGGAACTGCAATGAAAATTTCACAGAGCTCAAGAAAAATCCTCGATGTTGCAACTAAGCCCAGAAAACTTTAGCAGACATATGAAAGTCGACGCCTCAGTTTTTCCCGGAATTTTTTTTCCAATTTCATACTAATGGAAAAAACAAGGTCTGGAAAAAAACAAGACCTTAGGTTACAAAGGCAACTGCATTAACTCCAGACCAAGTGGGAAGGAGTCTGGAAGTTGTTAAGATTCAATACACTGTTAAGATTCAATATTAAAGCTAGTTTAATTTCTTAGATTTGCAAAGCTGATTACATGAAAAATGTTTAGTTCCCGACTACAAGACGCCTGCTCGTTTAAGTGCAAACAGTGAAAAATGAAGACTTTTTACTCAAAACTCTGCCATGAGAGAAACTAATTATTTTTGTTAAAAACTGTAAAGATAAGTCAGGCACTCATTTTCATCTAAATACAGAGGCGGAAAGGAGCTTTGCATTCCTTTCGACACGGAAAAAGAATAACCATAAGCAAAAACAATTTCATTAACTTCTCCTGCGTTTGTAATATTTCAAAAAAAAATCAAAATACAATCAGTACCGAAACCTCGAACCAAAATGAGCGAAAATTGATTACCATACATCAACAGAGAGTATGATATGAATGACACAATATGAGTTGAAAAAAAAACGCTAATCGTGGAAAAAAACGCTAATGGACTTTAAAATACGATAATGAAAAAATACGCTAATAAAAAAAAGTTACAAGGACTCGTCCAAAATTTGAGACAATTTCTCGATATTTTACAACAATCCCACCTCGTCTGGTCGTGTCCATCGAACGACCCTTAAAAAGTCAAACATTGGCAAAAATAAAGGACAATGCATAATTATTTTTGGCAAAACTGTTCACATATCGATCCTCGAAGTTCTAAGTTAATATTGTAACTTAAAAAAGCGAACCAAAGGCTTTGTCAAATTTCGAGGCAAAAATTGCAGTTTTGTAAAACTTAAAAGGCGTATTTAAATTCAAAAATAATAAATTGTCAAAATTTGAGAAAACAAGATATAATTGAAAAAGAAAAATTCAAAAATAAAATTTGACAAATTATCAAATGCCGGTTCTTTTGAGTGATTACATTTGGATCCTCTACCCAGACCTAAAAAATAAAAGTACAATTCAAAAACATTGCCAGCAGACAGAACAGTTTCATTCAGTCTGAACTTTAAGCCTTACAAAACAATAAAGTTCTAGATACGTCCCTGCTTAAAACTATTACATCGAAAAAAATGAACCTGTCAAATTTTGAGGTGAACTGAAATCTCAGCAACCCAGATGCTTAAAAATTTCTATCAGTGCGTTAAATAGCATTTTATTGGCATCCATGGAAACTGCGTTAATTAAAATATAATATATAAACAACTCCTGTTATGATTTTCAACAGAACTTTAATCGTCGTTGATTTTATTTTTACGCTGGTTAAAACAAGCTCAATAAATAGAAACAGGTCAACAAGTAAAAACAGCTAAACGAATCAGAAAACTTTATAGGGTATATACGCTGGCAGATTTAAAACGAGTAATGAAAGCAAGGAAACAGGAAAAAATGAGGTTTTAAAAAACTTCAACTTTCAATTTTTAAAGAACAAATATAAGCCACTAAAGCTCTTTGAATTTCACGAAAAAATCATCAGTGGAGATTTATATATAATAATAATCCAATTTGAGACACAGAGGCGATGCTGCACTTCGCAGACACTTGCGAGCACACGACAAAACGCAGCTTTAAAAAGAGAAATAAGGAAAATAGAAATAAGCCTCGAATTGGTACACTTTGCTACGCATTGGACTCGAACCTGCGAACTCGAGATTTGGAGTCTCACCCCCTGCCCGCTTGGCCACGAACTCTTAACAACCCAAAAACACTAGTTACGAATAAAGCAGCTACATATACTAATAAATTGCCAATGCGCTGATGCGAAAGTGGCAAAAAACACAAATAGACACAATTCTGCATCTAATAATTTGAAATATAATAAACTGAAGGCATTCACGCTAACTTCGCATGTAATAAATTCGAAAGCACAAAGCCAAATTATGTATATATTAAGCATTTTATAAATATAGCGAGATATATTGAGTTGGAAAATTTCTGAAATCAACTTTTTGTTATTGTATTAAATAGTCGTACAATAACACTACCTCACTAAAGTTCGCAAGTGTAAGCACTGGATCAATAGGAAAATCTGACAAAAAAATTAAACTCTATTTGCGAACTAAGAAGTCGATCACGTTTTTCGTGACCTTTAAATTTTTGATGCCCGATAGTGGAGTTTGCCTTCTTTTTAACAAAAGAAAAGAACTGATCTTACAAAAAATCAAAAGTCAAACTGCGAAAAATCAAAATTGAGCGTCAAAAAGATTTAAGACTTTTTGTGAAAAAAACCAAAAAATTTTTTCAAACTGCGAAAAATCAAAATTGAGCGTCAAAAAGATTTAAGACTTCTTGTGAAAAAAAACCAAAAAAACCTATATGAGAGTCTTCACTGAGTTCATTAATCTTAAAAATTCTGTAACGCTCCTTCACATGACATTGCATAAGCAAGCCCTCATATAAACGAAACCGTTCGTAAACTAAGCCGAGCTTCAATATAAAACCGGAAAGCTCATGAAAATCATAGGCAAAAAAATTAAATTCAACATTCGATTGTTTGTACAATGGCAAAAACTTAGAAATGACATTTCTTTTTTTTCCGTTCGGCAAAAGTTTACAAGAAATGATCCGGTTACAAGCTGCAAACGCTTGCTTATCTCAAGCAAAACAATAACCGAGGTTCTTAGAAGCATTTACTTAAATTCATAAACTCTTGAAAAAATGAATGGCGATAAAAAAAGCTTGGTTGGATGTAGGAGTTGTCGATTACAGGGAGGCCCCGGCCTCCAATTCGAGTTCTCTGGACAACTGGGACTTACTACAGAGGGTGCAGCCACTGGTGATTAATGAGTGCTTCATCCGCAACAGGAACAAGTACAAGTACATCCTCATGTCAGACGCAGACGAGGCACTCGTACCTCTTCACACGCCAATATCCACTGCTGAAGCAGCAGGTATGGACTGTGTTCCAGCAATGTGGCACGTTTCCCGAACACATTTCGTCCCACATTTATTAGGGGACTTTGAGTGCGAAACTTTAAGGCCGAAATGCTTGATGACCGAAATTTGCCAGCGAACTTCATAGGAGCGAAATTTCTCAGCTGCGAAATGTTCCTCTAAACTTAAGAGGCGCGAAATTTGTCAGCTGCGAAATGTTCCACAAAATTAAGAGGGACGATTATAGAAGGTGAAGAGGGCGTACACCTTTTGCTTGTTATGTCCGTTTCCAAACCATGCAATTGCCCTTTTAATTGAACTTTTTACTGCAGGTATGATATAAACTGTGCTGAGCTGAGTAAAACATTTGGTATAGTTGGTAAGAAATTCATCATTCAAGAAGTCGAGAGCTTTGCCGGTATCAAATTACATCTTTTTAAAGAAAAAAGCAACAGAAACATTTAGTCGAATGAAACTTGGCAGAATTTGAACACTATTTTGATATAAACCATCTTTCAAGTTGTAAAATTTTCAGAATAAGCACTTAAACTATTTTTTCATACAAAAGGATAACCACTAGACTGTAACTTATTCTTATTTGCTTCAATGACAACTACAACTTTTCCAGATGACAAATTGCCTAACTGGAAGTCTCCTCTGGAGCGACTGCTGGAGCATTTGGGCGTGAATGAAATGAGGCGCTCGCAGCTGAAGAGAATTAAATTCACGCGGTTCATGTACCCTGTGCACTGTGAGGCTCTAGTAAAGCAGATGGTACCTGACGCTTCGCACTACTACACAGACATAGACAGTCCCTTCTATATGTCAAAGATTCTGCAAGGCAAGCTTTAACTCATGTATTTTATGAGTGTGCTGCGTTTGAAGTTTCTCCACAGGCAACGTTTAGAAATAGAAACGTAGCCAACAGAAAGTTGGAAATGTGCAGAAGAAGTAAATGCAACCGAAAAAAAAAATGGATGATACATTTTGAAACATTTTCGAACTCAAAAGACACGAAAGTAAAATAAAAAAAATCATTCGTTCGTTCAACTTTTAATCACTCTTTCGTTCCTTTTTAGGTGGTCCTCAGAGAAAGAATGGCAAGAGTCTCATTCCCACCAGTCGGTGTCAGACTGTGAATGCACACGGATGCGAACACTCCGTAGATCCAACAAACGACGAGACACTGCATGTGGATGAGCACTTAGCCAGAGTGAACCACTACCGAGATGCACTCATGATAAGGTAACGAAACACACAACACATTTAGTCATGTCCACAATAAGAAATTTCGATTTTCCCAGCTGCAATCTTTGGACACGATACGCAACCAAATTTTTTTTTATCAAGATAAATGCCCCAAAAATATTGCATAATCGAACATAGCCAATCAAAGATTGGAAAAGAGTAATGAACGCAAATAAACAAATAAAGCACTAACTTTCTTGAAAAAATACCAACTTTCAAACTTCAAAGAAAAATATAGATGCCCTTTAAGCTCTTTAAATTTCTAGAGCAATTTATGATTGGCACTTTTTTGATAACATGAACCCAAGTTGAGAAAACTGGATCAACGGATAAGGTTTTTATTCCGCAGGAAATCTAAAAATTAAATTCCACTTTCGAAACTAGAAATCGTGCACGTTTTTTTTGGGCCATTTCCACGTTGGCAGATGACTCTCAACTGAACTCAAAAAGGGTATATATAACTAAGTGAAGTCATAAATGCATCAATATGTCTGAATGCACATCTGTAGTTATTAGAGACTTTCATGCACATTTTAAAACTTTTTCCTGAAAAAAAAACAAAAAAACCAGCAAGACCAATTCAATTCAATTATTTGATACAGTGAAGAAATACATACGTAATCACTCACTGCATCAGGATAGCTAGAAAAGGCTTTTCAACCTAACAAGTAGCTACCCTCCGGGATAACTATCACAATTAAGTAACGACAACGGGTAAACAAATCAGAAAAAATTGTCGACCAGATGTACATTGACTAAAATGTAATTTCTTTCGAAAACCTTTAAAAATTTTGACAGCTGTTCTTGAGAGTACGTACGTTTCGATCTTATCGGGTAGGAGTTTATTTGACATCAAAAAATTGAAACACAACAATTTTGCATGCAAGGGAGTTTTCCATAGTTTTTGTCCTACAGCGATAAAATGGAATCATTCCGTTAGAAGTAGAACGTGTATTTCGTTTATTACTATAATTACCGACGTTTAAAAAATCAAGAGGTGAACGTTTTAAATATTGAAAAAAGGTTTGTTTAAAAAATGAGTTAAAGAAATTTCATGAACTGTATCGATGCCCAGATCATTAAACTTTGTTGTTATGTTGTCGTATTTGCGTTTGAAGAACATCGTACGGAGAACTCTTTTTTGGCAGATATAAATTTGTTCTAAATTTGTTTTGCTAGTACTCCCATAGACAAGCAGACCATATGAAATTATAGGAACCACATATGCCAGTTGGAACTTTAACAGCATTTTCGAGAAAAAGCTACCCTGCCCTTATACATAATTCCGTTAAATCGGCCTTGTTTTCTTCGCACAGTTTCAACATGATCTGTAAACTTGAGCTGACTATCAATGATAACACCCAAGTATTTGAAACAATTTGTAAATCCTATGTTTTTACCCGCAAGTGAAAAGTCATTATCCAAACATTGTTTACCAAATGGTAAGATTTTATATTTTGTAGAGCTTATCGACAATTTATTTCGCACACACCAGTCATCTGTTTTCAGCAAATCATTTTTAAATTAATCATTTACCCTTGCCGTTGGGAAAAAAGCAAGAATAGCAGTGTCGTCCGCAAAAAGACTTAATTCCGATTTCGAAACAATTTTATTTATGTCGTTAATGTAAAGTAAGAAAAAAAGGGGTCCAAGAACAGAGCCCTGCGGAACTCTGTACGACATTACCTGTTGCCTAGAAATACCGTTCGAATTAACAACAAATTGTTGTCTGTTTGTCAAATAACTTAATATCAATTTGTTGAATTTTCCTCGAAAGCCGTCCGTACGCGCATAATTTTTCCAGAAGAACGCAATGGTTAACTGTATCAAAGACCTATATAAGAGTCTTCACTACGCTCTTTACTCTTAGTATCATAAGAAAAAAATCTTGAAATCATAGTTCGCATATTATCAAAACTTTCAAAGAGCAATTTTGAAAGATTTCGCTCAAATCTTCAAATAACAGAGAAGTCACAACTTCAGCTGGAACTGTTATTTTAGTCGTTTTGCATTAATCCACAGATACCTTCTGTCAAACAATGTCTCAACTTGAAAATGATTGACAGGTCCGAGGACGTGAACAAAGAAGAGCATGTGATGAAATCGGAGTGCCTACAAATGATAAATATAGCAGTGAACAAGACAGGCGCACTTGATAACCTCATCATACCATACGTGGATGAACTGAAGAGTAGAGTGAAGTTAAAACAAGAGTTGATTTTCAATCGATTCATGCCATCATGACCAAACACGCCTTGTCTAAGTCGGAAACGAAAAAAAAAACTAGTAATTGATTTTTTTAGACAATGTTCCTCATTATCAAAATCAGATAATTTTTATTGTTTGATGTGTATTGTAATTCTATACTAGGTGAAGCTTTCCTATAATTTAATTTTATTTCATACACTTGATTGTTTCAATATAACAAGAGAAGCCCCCTCCCATTCATTTCGTTGCGATAGAAAAACGTCGAGTTGTCCCGGCATCTTAACTTTTGCTTGATATTATGTATGGCTTGACATTATGTCAATGATATCCTACCAAATCCTTCATACGTATAGGGATTCCGATGTTAACAATTTGGGATACATTTAGTACTACTAGCACTGCTGCTCACCCTCTCTCAGTTTGGCCATGGCCTCCTGCTGTCTCCTCCTCCTCTCCTCCGCCTCCCTCTCCCTCCTCTCGATGGCCGCCTTCTCTCGCTCCTCCCGCGTCACAAATACTGGCTACAACACAGTACAATTACACAGAACTTATCAAGATACAACCTATGAAGCACCCAAAATAAAAAAAATCACCTGACTAACAGAAATGAACACCTTGTCTGACTTCAGGGACAAGTAGGATTCACTGATTCTTGACAACACTATTTATTTTTTCACGGATCTAATGTTTCAATTAGACAGGTTCCAAATCTGATCCATCGCTACTAGGGGCCGATCTAAGATTTTCTCGAGGAGGTAGATTTCAAAAAAGATTGAAATTTTCTTGACCTACTAAATTGAATTCCAAAATCTCCCAGCACTCTAGAAAGACCCTATTTCGCCAAACTTCTCTGCTCCGTAGAAATTTTGATAAAACAGGCCAAAAACTCCGCTTATAGGCAAAATTGCGCTTTTTCTCGGCATGCGCTCCGTCAAAAATTGGTATGCATTGGAACCAAAAGCGCCTTTAAACAAATTTTGAAATCGTTATGACAAAAATAAACACTGTTAAATAGTGCCAAAGAGGAACCCTTTGGGTGGAAAAGGGTCCAATCCCTGAAGATGGATTTATTTCCCGAACGGTTCTTCGAAGATAATTTGTTCTCCTATGAATAATTTTCCAAAAATTATAGGTTGCTGGACTGAAAACGGACTTAAATTAACACTAGCAGATTCTACAATTTTTTTGGCTGCTTTTTCAATAAAAATGAATACAACATTTTTTATACCGAAAAATAGCAAAGCGATTAATTGAATATTAACTCTTGCCTTCACCTTTCGACACTGGTTTAGCAAAAAAAATCGCAGAATTATGCTAAGATGAATTTGTTGAAAATTTGACGAACCAAATAGGCAACTACAACCAAATGAGCAGTTTAAAGGTAGCGCCGAGCTTATCGTTGGTTCAAAACTGTTTGATATACACGAGGAAAAATATTTTTGATCGAGAGTGTTTTTTAAACGCAAAATCAGGTACAACATAATCATTGATTTATAAATGATTTATTTATCAAATTGAAGACTTTTTTGTCTTAGTAATTCGGCCTGCTATGAAAAATTTCGCAAATTCTTTGTCGATTTAGAGGAAGAAACGGGCTGAATACAAAATTTTTCAGACCGATGAAGTCTTCTCTCTCCCTTTCGCTCTTGTAGAAAAAAACTACAAAAATCAAAAGATTACTTGGTTTCTTTTTAATCTTTCTCATGAAAATAGAACTGTGGTGCGAACTTTCTGCTATCTGTACTGCAAACGATTTCTCGTTTTGACCTTACTTTTGTTATGGCCTCCTCCTCCGCCTTCTTTTTAGCCAGCAGTTCCTCCAAGGACAGTGGCTCCTTCTTCTCTTTCTTCACCGCCACCCCCTCTTTCTCTTTCTTCACTTCAACTGCTGCAATGGCCCCGTTAGTTTTACTATGACCATGAGTCATATGTCTCAAATCCACTCTACTATCTGCTGCTGCACCAGAACTCTTCTCCGGACTGTCTTTCACTTCGCCTTCGTCATCTAAAATAACTCAAATGATCCAAAGTCCTAACCAAGGAAACTATTGACTGTTGATTATTATATTTTGAACCAAGTACATCTCACAAAACTTTGATATTATGGGGCAAAAAACTATCAATTAATTAGAATAAGCAGTCAGCGCAGGACTATATGTTGAAAAAATCATCTGAAACCCTGAGTCATTCTACCCTGCTCTTTAAAGGATATCGGATTAATATCATCATTGATCTCTCTGTCACATAACTTCACCTGAAATATTTTCTTCTTTCTTCACGCCATTTTCTACACCTTTCACACCTTCCTTCTCGTTCTCTCTTCCTTCTCTGTGGTCCCTATCCTCGCTCTTCTTCCTCTTGCTGCTGTGTTTATTTGACGATTTCTTGCTGGAGTCCCCTGTGGTCCCATCTCTATCTCTGTCTTTGCTTCTACTTCTGCTTCGAGATCGCTTCCTCTTCTTCTCCTTCTTTGATTCCCGATTGGCAGACCTAGTATTCAATAATTCATTCAGTGACCAGTTCAGCTTTAAGGCTGATAATCAAGGGTATATTTTAAGAATAAGAAACTACTTTTAAAATATTAGACCCAACCAGGGGCGGATCGACGATTTTCTCGAGGGGGGGTGGATTTTGAAAAAATTTTTCGAAAATTTGGACGACCTTTTTTTAAGATCGACCAAATTGATTTTCCGAGCTCTCCTAAAGCATTAAAAAGAGGCTGTTTTGGCTAAATGTTTTGCGCCGCAGGCAAATTTTTGAAAAAAACAACAGGTCAAAAAAGCCGTTTTTGGGCACTTCTTGGAAAATTTTGGTACTGACAAAATTTTTGGTCTGCCAAAAAGTACTGACAAAATCCCCCCCCCCCCTAAATCCGCCCCTGGACCCAACGCTCGCCTCATTTTTGTCAGTGATCTGTTATCAAATTCATTTAAGCACAATTGAATTTAAGTCTATGAAAGATGAATTTTTTCCATTTGGTCAGCTTATTTGATGCTGCATTTCACAGCAGTTTTCACGCGAGTAGTGGCTCTTCAATAAACTTGAGCCAAAAAAGTATTTTTTAAAAATGACAACATACTAATGACTTATGAGGTACCTAAAATCGCGCAAAATAACACGCTAGGCGATAGTTCTTTTCATCCGCAAGTGGTCGGAATTATCACCCAGAGTAGTTAAAAAACAAGTTTTACAAAACTAAATGCCCATCCACATAACATTTTGAAAATGCTCACCCAGATCTAGACCTGGATCTCTTTCTCTTCTTTGATCTGAAATAAACAAAAACGTCAGATGTTAACCAGCGTATGACCGACCGACACTAGTCCTTCAAAAAATATGGCATTAACTATTTAGGGAAAAGGCAAAAATCAAACTTATGTTAGAAGCAACCTTGGCCAAATTTTACTTAACGTCTAAATTCAAGTGCTTTTTTCCTCTGAATCGCGGAACTAAACTGCGGAACATTTGAAAGCAAAATGTGCCAACAGATGGAAGGGTACATAAAAATCCCACGCTCAAAAACTGATACCAAACGATCATAGTTGCTCAAAAACAATGAAATACATTAAAAAAAATTACTTGTCACTTTTCTGTTTGTGTTCTTTTTTACTGCTTTTGCTTGTACTGGACTTGCGACTCCTCACTTCGCCTGTTTTACTCTCTTCGTCTTTATTGATACCGTCGGGTTTCGAATCCTCCTCGGCACTTTGTTCACATACCCTTTCTTCAACTAATGAGTCTGACATGGATGACTAACACTAGGGCAATTAGCTCCACGCAGAACCAATTTGTATTGAAGGTTAATTTAATTGAGCTCAAAGTCAACTAACAACGATGGTAAGACGGAAAACATCTGAATCTATTCTAAATGAAACTAGTCACAACATCTGAAAAAAAACATATCAGGCATAGCGTGGCATCCAGAATGCTATTTTGAAAAGCCTCAAATACAGCCTAAGTTCTGCCAAAATATGAATTCATAAAAATAATTTATTTTACAACATCTTGAATCTTATAAGAAAATAAACAAAATCAGAAGTATTCAAATTAATTACCAAGATCCCTTTTGCTGAATTGAATCATAAGTTTACTATGACTATTATAAATGTTTATCGCCACATTAAAACCGTTCAAAAGTCTCACAGTTCCAACATTAATTTGTCACTGCTGATATTTCAAAAACATTGACCAAATTATTGCTAGTAAGTACCAAATATTGGTTTATGAAGAAAATTTGACACAGAAAACATAATTAAACAAGACTGCTCGTATCAGGGCGAAGCCCTGAATGTTCCGACTGCCTTTTAAGGTTTTATGGAGCAGTAATAACATCAAAAAATTAAATGTAATAAAAATAAAATGAAATTTTTTAAACTAAAAATTGAAATTTTTTATGAAAATCACCCCCTTACACGCCATATAAAGTACAAAAGGATAGATTTCGCTCCTTGTAACAAACCAATTATGGCAAATAAGCTTCTTGCAACCAATTTGGAACAATTTTAAGACGGATTAATTCTCCGCTTACGCGTTAATAGCGCGAATTATATCGCGCGTTAATTGTCCCAAATTGGTCAAAATAGCCAAATTGGCAATCTTTAAACCCTCATAACTTTACGAAAAATGATCACAGGTGAAATATCTTTTCAAATTTGAGCTCAGGACAACAATACCTTTTGAATGATATAAAAAAATTTCGTCAAAAATGGCTAGTTAAAAAGTCGAAATTTGTCTGAAGAAAAAAAAAACCCACCCCGAGCACAAATATTCTGTTACTTTCGTATCGAAAGTCGGAACAAAAAGAAACCAAGTAATCTTTTGATGTTTGAGTTTTTTTACAAGAGCGACAGGGAGAGAGAAGACTTCATCAGTCTGAAAAATTTGGTATTCAGCCCGTTTCGTCCTCTAAACCGACAAAGGATTTGCGGAATTTTTCATAGCAGGCCGAATTACTACGACAAAAAGTCTTCAATATGATAAATAAATATTCGATCTCATGCAATATCATGATTATGCTGTACATGATTTTGCGTTTAAAACACTCTCGATCAAAAATATTTTTCCTCGTGTATATCAAACAGTTTTGATCCAACGATAAGTTCGACGCTACCTTCAAAACTGCTCATTTGGTTGTAGTTGCCTATTTGGTTCGTCAAATTTTCAACAAATTTATCTTAGCATAATTCTGCGATTTTTTTGCTAAACCAGTGTCGAAAGGTGAAGGCAAGAGTTAATATTCAATTGATCGCTATGCTATTTTTCGGTATGGAAAATTTTGTATTCATTTTTTTTTTGAAAAAAGCAGCCAAAAAAATTGTAGAATCTGCTAGTGTTAATTTAAGTCCGTTTTCAGTCGAGCAACCTTTAATTTTTGGAAAATTATTCATAGGAGAACAAAACATCTTCGAAGAACCGTTCGGGAAATAAATCCCTCTTCAGGGAAATAATTTTAACTTTATACAGGTTTGTCAAGATTTGTCAGAACAAATAAAGTTAAAATCCCATTTCACCCGGATTTATTTCACCACCTTATTCCAATCAAACTCTCAAGCCAGCCGATCAGCAGTTTAAAAAAGCAATTCAAAGAAACCCACGTTTATGCATGTCTGAGGCCATCCCCCGTCATGCTTCGATTCTTTTTATAAAGATAGTTGATTCTTTTCTCTAATAATGATGGGGAAGACCTGAATCATACACGTGGGTTTTAGGGCCTGAAGCGCACGTTTATAGATGTCTCAGGTCTTCCCCGCAATATTTCGATAGAAGAATCAATTTATGAAATTGACGAAGTTTTTTTTTATCCAGATAAAATTTTATCCAATTACCGAAGGTGATTCAAAGCAGCCGTAGCAGAAATTTTCAAAAAAATCGCCATATTGGTGCTATTTTCGTTTAACGCAGGTTTTTATCAAAAAAAATATGTTCACTTAGCCTAATAACTGCCTACAGATTGAATCAAAAAAAATTAAAGGGTCGACGAAAAAAATTGTCGCCCTCGCGTTTTTGCCAGTAGCTTTGGATCAAAATTGCAATCGAAAGTTTGTGAAATCGTACAAATTTCTGGCTTCCAACACTCGATATCCATATTTGCAAAAATAGATGGAATACTTTGAGAACATTTGGCTGGTTCTACCCGATTAAGTTCTCGAATACTTTCGATACAGAGCCAAACTTTCAAACCACCAACTGCTCTGAGGGCTGGAACAGTCGTTCGAATAAAAAACCAGGAAGAAAAAGTTCTTTTTTCTTTGTTTTGTCTTTTTTTCGATCCTCCTTTTTCTATCTTTTTTCCTATTTTTGTCTGTTTCTCGAGCCCACTTTTTTCGATGTTTTCTATCTTTCTTTTTAAATTTTTTTCGACCTTTTTCTCAACTTTTTTCTATTTCTTTTCTGGCCTTCTTTTTTGATCTTTTGTATCTTTCTTCTTCTATGCTTTTTTCCGATCTTTTTTCTATCTTTTATTTAGGTTTTTTTCTGCCATTTTTTCAATCCTTCCTTCTCCATTATTTTTTCTATCTTTTTCTATCTTTTTTTTCGAGCCTTCTTTTTCGATCTTTTCCAACTTTCTTTTCTTAACTATTTTAATGTTTCTTTCTACCTTTCTTCTCTATTTTTTTTCTGTCTTTTTTGGAGCTTTGTTTTCTATTTGTTTTTCTTTCTTTTAATCATCTTTTTCGAGCGTTTTTTCTATTTTTAAACTCTCTTTCATTATGTTTTTTCCACCTCATTTCCTATTTTTTTCTATCTTGATCTTTCTCCATCATTTTTTCTATCCTTATCAATATCCTTCTTAAATGAATTTTTCAATTTCAGATAGCTTACATATTTTCTGCTTAAAATCTGCCCATAAAAATGCTGCCGAAGAAATCTCCCAAATACTTTGAAGAAGCTTGCGCAAAAGCGCAGAAAAAAATCACCGACGCTTTCAACAATTTTTGTAAAGAGCAGGAGTTGGCAATTTCATCACACGCTGTGATATCGCACGATGCGGTTCAGTTATCTCACCTTACGAACCTCTTTCAAACAACGGGAGCGATGTCGAGCTTTCGGTTGAAAGACATGCCAGATGTCCTGAGAGAGTTGCCAGATGCCCGGAAGATGCCAGATACCCTGAAGATCTGGCATGGTGGCATGCCTCAATGATGAATTTTGTATCCTCAAAGACTGATCCCAACCACCCTCAAATTCATAATTGGTTTGGGTTAACGCTCCTGGAGAAAGAACAAGGACACGTTACGTTGATGCCGAAAAACGAAACGAGTCAAAAAAGAAGTTGCAATTGCAAAAGCCGGCTGCAGCGAAAAAAAGAGCATCCAAACGTGATTATTGCAAACATTGAAGTATCTAGAGCTTGCTTCTTGAAAAAAGAGTACTTACTAATCAACTGTTCATAGTAATTTCAGAAAAACAGAACCCACAGCTGGATGCGGAAGCACAAGAAGAGCCCCGTGGATTAGCTGAAGAGGTCCATACGCAGAAGTGAATAGCAAAGAAGCTGTGGATGATGCGGATGGTAAATATTAACTAGCAATCACTAAAACATCTGATGCGCTTATGGAGTTTGGGACAAATTTTGACAATTGTTATTGTTAAGTAGTGGACGAGGACAACACCCAGCAAGCATCACCACTTGCGGACCTAAAAGATAGTGGTGAGCCTTTGTTTACTTTATATGTTCCGACAAATCTTGACAAACCCGTTTAACGTGAAGTTCACATTTCACCCAGATTATTTCGCCACATTATCCTAATCAGTCTTACAAGCCAGGCGATCAGCACTTTAAAAAGCAATTCATAGACACGCACGTGCCTGAAACGCACGTTTATGCATGCCTCAGGTCTTCTCCGCATTATTTCGAAAAAGAAGAATCAATTTATAAACTTGATGAAGTTTTTAAGCCAGATGAAATTTTATACGATTACGGAAAGGATTCAAAGCAGCCGTAGCAGAGATTTTCCCAGAAAATCGCTATATTGGTTGCATTTTTCATTCTACGCAGGTTTTTATCAAAAATTATGTCCTTTTGGCCTAATAACTGCCTACAAATTGAAACAATAAATTAAAAAATCGACGAGAAAAATTGTAGCGCTCGCGTTTTTGCTAGAAGCTTTAGATCAAAATTGTTATCGAAAGTTTGTGAATTCATCCAAACTTCTGGCTTGGAACACTCGATAACCATAATTGCAAAAAGTGATCGAAATTTTTGACAACACGACAAAGTTCTGGAATGTTTTCTTCTAAACCATCAACTGCTCTGAGGGCTGGAACAGTCGTTGCAGTAAGAAACAAGGAAGAAAATGTTCTTTTTTCTATCTTTTTATCCTCCTTTTTCTATCTTTTTTCCTATAATTTCTCGATTTTTTTTCACGATGACGTGCTAAATATTTGTTTTTGGACGATTGTTGACCCAAAGACGAGTTCCGAAATTCATTTGGTAAACATTCCAACACAAAAATAGTACGCATTCAATATTGTTCTTGGTCTTTTCATGGATCCAAAGCAGAGTTACGCACATTTACTGTGTGTCTCAGTACAGAACTGTTTAACCTGCGAGAAAGCTGATACCGTCAATAGTTGTTTTCCCGGAAGCAAGAATTTGGTCTACGTCATGCAATGTCGTTAGAAAAATTACAAAAACTGATAGTTGTTTCTTCCAGTGGAAATCAATTTCAACCCTTATTGCCAGTGTTACGATCATACACTGCACCATGCTAGCAGTGAAATCAATTTTAGCGACGCGACTTAAACCACAGAAAATTCATTCATGATGTGGAATGTTTTTCAATAAACCAAATTGTTCATAGACGCTCAGCCAGCACCATTCAAATAAAACAAAAATGAAAAGGTGCAACTAGTCCTGTGGCACACATGGTAGTGCCGCCA